CCTTCACTTGTGTCTAATTCCCTCCGTCTTAAATTCATTCTCACATTTGGGGCACAATCTTTGTGTGTGTGGAATAAAGTGAATCCCTAAGCCAATCGATCGATGTGAATCCATTTCCTTCCCCCACCGTGCCTGTGTAAAAGTCGCAACGCTGATCTTCTCCCCCCCCCGTGCTTTTCTCTCTGGCCTTTCTTTGGCACAGGTCCAAGCAGGCTTTTAAAACCCCAACTGACCAACCCCAAAACTCCCTGCCTGGAAACCAAGCGCCGCTTGAGACCCCCCACCTGCAAGAGCGCGGCTGAGCTGGAAAACGAGGAAATCGCAAAGCTCCAACAGTGAGTTGGTTTTTCTTTTCTTTTTTTAAAAAAATTATTGAGTAAATCTTAACTCCAGCGGACTCCCATCTGGGGAACAAAAACATTCACATCAGAATAAGGCTGGAAGGGACTTGGGAGGTCTTCTAGTCCAACCCAGTGCCCAAGAAGGAAACCTTACACCAGGAGTGGCTAACCTTTTTTCGGCTCCTGTGCTGATAATTGTATGCGCTCTGTGCATCTCCCACACACACACACACACACGCACACATACCCCCACCCCCTGCGCATGCGTGCCAGATACCTGACAATCAGCTGTCGGTGCAGCAGCGCACACATGCGCAATGGGGCTATTCCGTGCGACCTCTCGCATGCCGGCGGGACATGGTTCTGGGTGCCACTCCTGGCAGGTGTGCCATAGGTTTGCCAACACGGCCTTATGCCCTATACCTCCTGTGTTGGAGGACCCACAATCTCTGGTGGCAGGCTGTTCCCCTGGTTAATTGTTCAGTCAGGAAATTTCTCCTTAGCTCTAAGGTTGCTTCTCTCCTTGATGAGTTTCCACCCGTTGCTTCTTGTCCTGCCCTCAGGGGCTTTGGAGAATAGCTTGGCTCCCCTCTTCTTCTTTATGGCATTCCCCCAAATATTGCCATCCTGCTTATCATAGCACTCCTTCATTCTTCTTTTGTAGACTAGCCAAACCCAAATCCTGCAGCTGTTCTTCGTGTGTTTTAGTCTCCAGGCCTTTCATCGCCTTAGTTGCTCTTCTCTGCAACTTTTCCCAAAGTCTCAACCTCTTTTTTGTGTAATGTACGTTTCTGCTATTTATCAGAAATGGTGTAAGGTCTCCGGCTTGGATTGGGGGGGTTGGGGGTTGGACTAGATGGCCTCCAAGGTCCCTTCTCACTCTGTTAATCAAGAACCACAAGAGCACCTGACTTTACCCTGGAGAACCTCACCCTCCGCTCCCCCTTTCGACCCCAACAGGTACCGATTCAAGGCTCAGGAGCTCAACTACCGCATCTTGGAGGGCGGCCCACTCCTGCCCAAGAAGCCCCCCACGAAAGAGCTGACCAAGCCCATCGGCTTCAACCTGGAAATCGAGAAGCGGATTCAGGAGCGGGAGACCAAGAAGGTCCAGGAAGAGGAGCCCTTCGAATTCCATTCGAGGCCCTGCCCGACCCGGATCTTGGAAGACGTGGTGGTAATTGTGGGGTGGGGTTCCCCTCTTTCCCAGAAAGGTTTGACACCTGAATCGTGTGGGAATCCGGTAGTTGTCTACTTACAATTAAACCCAGTTCATTTCATGACCGAAGCTACAACGAGCAGCGGAAGAAGTGACTCATGTCCTTTTATTCCACACTTAATGACCGTTGCAGCATCCCCCACGGTCAGGTGATCAAAATTCAGATGCTCAGCAACTTGACTCGTATTTATGACGGTCACAGTGTCCCCAGATCACGCCATCCCCTTTGGCAACCTTCTGGCCGGCAAACTGAGTGTGTGTGGGGGGGAAACAGATTCACTTAACCGTGTCACGAACGGGTCCTCCTTGACTTTACGGCCGTTCATTTAAGGACCTTTCGAGGTTACAGTGGCCTGGAAAAAGACGCACTTACGGCCATGATTCACACTTAACGACTGTTGTAAGCGTTCCCCATGGTCACAGGATCAAAATTTAGACGCTGAAAGAAACTGACTTGTATTTATGATGGTCGCAGTGTCCCGAGGTCATGTAATTGTCAGGATTCCAGCCATCGCCCGAATGAAATCATGATTCTCGAGCCAAACTTCAAAAAACTTCAAAGGATCCATTAGAGGTGACATCCTGGCCCTGCCCTGGATAAAGCCAACTCTGGCCTATGTCATTTCCAGTCCCCTGGGACCCTGTTTCCCCCCTCCCTCCCCCCCCGGGGTGTTTCATAAACCAGATTCTCCCATTGAGCTCTCCCATGGGCTGGGTGTCATCAATCACATTCTCCAATTCAATATATTCACAGGCAAAAGCTCTGGCATTTTAGTTACACCCTTTTAAAGATAAGAGTTGGAATGTACTTCCGCTTCCCAACTGCTGCTCTGCTCTTGCAGATTTCCTTCCTCTTCCCCCCCCCCCATTTTTTTTTTAATGGCAACTACTAAAACAGGCATTGGAATGTTTTATGAGTTGACATTCGGCTCCTCTCACTTCTTGACCTTTATAAAGCAACACTGAGATAAGCTTGTAATGTTCATTTGCCGCCTGCTCCTTCAAGGTTCTCCCACCCAGCCCACCCCTTCGTGTGGCCATTTGGAAATGGTCATAGGAATGTTTTACAAGCTGATCCTAGGCCGGAAGCGCCATTGATCAAACTTAGTGGTGAAAATCGAAGAGGACTCTGATCCAGCTCCATGAGACCAGAGACCCCCAACCTGCGCTCTGGAACTGTCCTAGTGCCCAAAGCAGAACGTACTCCAGAAGGCCTTCTGCTCTCCAAGCTCAGAGGAGAAGATGAAGAAGACACCTGCAGGACAGGTCAAAAAAAAAAAAAATCAAGACAGCAGCCATGATGTATCATCAAAGCTCGGCCTGGTTTTGAGCGTCAGGATTCCAGCGATCGCCCTAATGAAATCATGATCCTCGAGCCAAACTTCGAAAAGCTTCAAAGGATTTATTAGAGGTGACATCCTGGTCCTGCCCTGCATGAAGCCAACTCTGGCCTACGTCATTTACAGTCCCCTGGGACCCTGTTTCCCCCCCGGGTGTCTCGTAAACCAGATTCTCCCATTGAGCACCTTCAGGGGCTGGGTGTCATCAATCACATTCTCCAATTAAATATACAGTATTTGCAGGCAAAAGCTCTGGTAGTTGAGTTACAGTCTTTTCAAGATGAAGAGTTGGAACGGACTTTCGCTTCCAAACTGCTGCACGGCTCGTCCAGATAGCCTTCCTCGGCCCCACTTTTTTTTTTTTAATGGCAACTACTAAAACAGGCAGAGGAATCTTTGATGAGTTGACAGCAATCCCTTTTTCTGACAAGCAAAAAGTCGATAGCATTCAGAGTTTTTGCAGCGTTCAGAAAAATAAACCCAGATGCAGGCTGATGCTTCATTCAACACTTTTACCAACGTAATAAGTAGATTTTACAAACCAGTTGTAGATTTCTCCAACACCGAGCAAACACGTTGCAAGTAACTTCAGTAGCAAGAGAGAAAGAGAGAACTCCCAGTTTCACTTTAGTTTCAGCAGAGAAGCAGTTTCATTTTCAACGGACAGACTCAAGAGCTCCACAGAGCGTCAGAGCTTAATATATAGAGCCACGCCTAGGGTACTTGTAGTTTCAGTTTCCAAACAGTCCTCATTGTTACTGACTTAGTGGCTGTGCCTATTCATTGGCTGGCCTTGTTACCAGGCTCTAGTCCAGCTCATGAATATAATCTGAGAAATAGGGAAGCCGGATTCGCTTCGACTGGGCTCCTAATTGAACAAACTGCAGCGATTCGCTTCATAAACGTGGCAAGAAAAGTCGTTAAAACGGAGCAAAACGCACTCAGCCGATTTCTCACATAGCAACAGAAATCTTTAATTATTATTCCACCACCACCACAACCACCACCCAAATTTGCAACCGTTGCAAGCTTCTCCCTGGTCACGTGATCCAAACCCAGACTCTTGGCAACAACAGTCGCAGTGATCCCCTTTTGCAACCTTCCGACTGGTAAACGGAGAAGCCAGTTTCGGTTTATTAACAGAAACGATCCTTTTAACAACCATGGCAAGAAAGGTCATAAAATGGGGGCAAAACTCACTTTAACTGTCTTACTTGCCAATAGAAATGTTGGTCTCCGTTGTTGTTGTAAGTCGAGGACTACTTGAACTGGTTTTTATTAGACACTTCCCAATGTGGCATCGATGTCTTCGTTGGACAGGTAGTCCTCGACTTACAACAATTCATTTACTGACCGTTTGACATCACAACGGCCCTGAAAAAAAAGGGGGACTGTATATGACCCTTTTCCACACACAACGACCGTTGCAGCATCCCCAGGGTCACCTGATCAAAATTCAGCCGCTTGGCCGCTGACTCCTACTTATGACGGACACAGTGCCCCGAGGCTCACATGATTTCCCCCTTTGGCGACCGTCTGACGAGCAAAGCCAATCAGGACGACAGATTTCATTTAACGACCTTGTGACTCAACTTCACCTCTGCAGCGATTCACTTGACAACAGTGTCAAAAAGAGAAAGGTCGTAAAATGAGGCAGGGTGTTTTGCTGAGCAAGACCAATTTGGGCCTCCCTCGTGGTCCTGAAGCCCAGGGATCCTTGAAACGGTTTTTATTAGACCGTCCTGTGTCGATGTCTTTGTTTTTGCTTTAATTTTAAACCTTTATTGAAATTTGAAACATTGACATACAAGTAAATCAAAAAAAAAAAAATAACTGTACAATTTTCCATCTTCTTTGACAGTACTCAAAATCTTGGTGATCATTCCTACATTTCCACACAGATAATACACATCAGATAATAGAGATAATCGGAGTTGGAAGGGACCCTGTAGGTCATCTAATCCAACCCCCTGCCCAAGTGAGAGGCTCTACACCATTTCTGACTGAGGGCAATCCAGTCTCTTCTTGGAAGCCTCCAGGGATGAAGCTCCCACAACTTCCGAAGGCAACTTCTGTTCCGTGGGTTGATGGTTCTCACCGTCACAGAATTCCTCCTTATTTCCAGGTTAAATCTCTCCTTGTTCAGTTTCCATCCATTCTTCCTTGTCTGACCTTCAAAGGTCTCAGATAGTATCATCTCGGCTGGGCCCTTTTGACCAGGGCTGCAATGTGAGCATCTCCAGGTCAAGTCCTCTTTTAGGGTAACACTTTATTGTCCTTGCACCTCATACAACGAAATCAAACACCATCTTCAGCGCACATCATGACCATGAAAATAAACACAAACGCACATCCTTCACACTCCATACTTTGAACAGAAACCCACAACACCGCACCAATAACTGCACCATACAGTAGAAATTCAAAAGAGCTACTGCCCTGGGATAGAAGCTGTTTTTCAGCTGTTTTGTCCTTGTTTTTATTATTCTGTACCATCTGCCAGATGGTAATAATTTAAAAAAAGGGGTTCCCAGGATGAAATGGATCTTTGAGAATGTTTTGAACTTTCTTAAGGCAGCGGGAGCTGTAAAGCTCTTCCAAAGAGGGGAGAGGGCAACCAAGTGATCCTCTGGGCAATGATGTTAACCCTCTGGAGTGCTTTCCTATCTGCCCCTGTGCAACTGGCAAACCCTACACAGGTGTACAAGAAGTTAAGATACTCTCTCTGGTGCAGCAGTAGAAGGTCACCAGCAGTTTTCCATCCAGTTGTTATTTCCTGAGAAGCCTCAGGTAGTATCATCTCTGCTGGGCCCTTTTGACCAGGGCTGCAATGTGGGCACCCCCAGGTCAGGTCCTCTCTTAGGGTAACACCCAAGAAACTTAAAACTGGCCACTTGCACCACTTGGTCTCCCTTGATAAGCCAGGGCTGGAGGTCTGATCTGTTCCTTCTATATAGTCCATTAGAAGCTCCTTGGTCTTATTGGTGTTGAGGACCAAGTTATTGTCTCCACACCACAAAAGCTTGGTACCTACCCTGGCTGGGTCTTACTCCATCCCATGGCTTCCTTCCCTTCCTCTCTTGCAGGGTGTTCCAGAGAAGAAGACGCTTCCCATCACCGTCCCCAAGTCCCCGGCTTTTGCCTTGAAAAACAAAGTGGGTGCCCTGGTTCGAGAGGAGAAGAAGGAAAAGGTATCTTGCTTTGCGCCGGGCCTTGGTTTGGCCTCGGGGTGGGTGGGCACGCTGGGGTAGCTCCACTCATGGCTGTTCTGAAGCCCCGGTGGATCTCCCTGGGCTGAGTGGGGTTTGGTGTAGCCTCCCCGGACGGACCAATATCGGTAGTCCTTGACTTGAAGCCATTCGTTTGGCAACCAAAGCTTCGAGGGCACTGAAAAAAAGTGATTTGCATTCCTCCTCTCCACAAACGCCTCTCCCTTTTAGGACTGATGATGTTCCCCAGTTGGGTCATGAAACGTCCACCAGAAAACAACCAAGCTTAGAGAGCACCGAGGATCACACAATCCCTCCTCCCCTTCCTTCCTTCCTTCCTTCCTTCCTTCCTTCCTTCCTTCCTTCCT